TTTTCCCCTTTGAATTGTTCGCCGCCCTGAGTCCTCCCGGAGAAGGGTGGCATACAAATAATAAAATACCAAATACCAATACCAATTATTAGTGGTTATATGTCAGGGCTCCAAAAGAGCCAACGAAAATAAAAAGATGGCTTGCAACTCATTATATCCTCTTTTTTTTTTAATCAGAGGGGGAAAAAAAGTGTGACACTCATTGCCTCCCTTAGCTTTTATCTTCTCAATGTCCCTGCGAAGTAGGCCAGGTCGGGACTAAGAAAAGATCAGCCAGCAGTGTTCCTTTCAGACTGGGGGGACGGGGGACAGGAGACGGGGGGGGGGGACGTGGCACAGGAGCTTCTTTATTTCTGCTCTTTCCAGGGGGCTCCTGTCGGTGGACACATCCTGAGCTACCTGATTGAGAAATCCCGTGTGGTGCACCAGAACCCCGGGGAGCGCAACTTCCACGTCTTCTACCAGCTGCTGGAGGGGGGCGAGGAGGAGCTGCTGGAGGGCCTGGGCCTGGGACGCAGCCCTCAGAAGTACTCGTACCTGGTGCAGGTCCGGTGGCGCAGCGTTTTGTCCCCAGGCTGTGATTTCCAGGCGCCTCCTGCATCCCCCTGGCTTTGCAGAAAGCTGCCAACTGTTTCTCTCTTCCGCTGTAGGGAGGCTGTGCCAAAGTGTCTTCCGTTAACGACGGCAGCGATTGGAGAACAGTCCAGAAAGCCTTCGTGGTCATCGACTTTGCCCCGAGAGATATCGAGGTGGGGACCTTAGGAGGGGCGAAGGAGAGTGTTACATCTGTTTAAAACAGACCTTCCCCCACCCCCTTGGCTGACGAGGGTGAGTTACGCTGGATCTGACTGCGTTTCTTCGCCTTCCTCCTCAGAATCTCCTGGGCATCATTGCCAGTGTCCTGCACCTGGGCAACATCCAGTTTGAAGAAGACAGCAACGGCCACGCCATCATCACCAACGGCACTCAACTCCACTGGATCTCCAAGGTGCCAGCTGGGCGCGTCAGAGACTCTGAATTAATTAGGGGGAGGGCAGCCCTGGGTGCAAAGCACATGCCGTCCCACCCTGGCCACTGGCACGGCGCACAGCCTTTGCGGGCAAGCCCTTTGCCATGCTGAAACTCAACGACAATCCCCTGCGCTGCTTCCATATACTGTGGTGTGAGTGCGCCGTCATAGGAGTTGTTTTGAGCATGGGGTGCACATCGCATTTGAAAGCTTCCCTCTCCCCCCCCCCCGAGGTTTCGAGTTGCAGCACTGATAAAAGAGTTGAACGTTATCGGCTGTTGTCTTTTTTTCCCCTCCTCTCTGTAGCTTTTGGGCGTCCCCCTGTCCATCCTTCAAGAATCTCTGACCCACAGGAAGATCGAGGCGCGGTTTGAAGAGGTACCACTCATTCTCCCTGCTCCTTTGCAAGAAAACAACAGGGCCGATCTGCCCTCCATGCGGACCCCGCTGTGACTTTCTTCCTCCTGAAGGTTTTAAGCCCGCTGGATGTGGACCTGGCATTCTACGCCCGTGACGCCGTGGCGAAAGCCATCTACGGACGGACCTTTGCTTGGCTGGTCAGCAAAATCAACGGCTCTTTAGCAAACAGGGTGGGTCCTTCGTGGCTGTTTGTAAGGGTGGCTTGTATCGCTGACGCCCGGTCTTTCCCATTCCCGCTGGGGCTTGAGAAGGCTGGCGGTTGACGGGGGTGGCTCTGGGGTTGTGCGCCTCGTGTCCAATTTGTGCGCGGACACTCGAAGGACCTTCCGATTGGGACCCCCGTTGTTTGTCCTTGTTTGGTAGGACTTCAGCAGGAAAACCGTGATTGGGCTGCTGGATATTTATGGCTTCGAAGTCTTTGAGACCAACAGGTAAAGTCTCCATTCGCCCTAAATCAAAACCACATTTTAAAATGTTTTATGCATTAAAAAAAAAAATGAGACTAAACTAAAGAGAACATGGGATTTGGAGAAAGAGCAGGAGGAGGCAAGGATCGTACAATCTCCCTTCCTCTAGTTGTGGGGTGGTAAAAGGGGTTCAGTCCAGAAACACTTCTAGAACACGACTGTTTTAAAATGAGTGTGTGTGTGTGTGTTCAAGTTTTGAACAGTTTTGTATCAACTATTGCAACGAGAAACTCCACCAGCTGTTGATCGAGATGACTTTGAAGGCAGAACAGGAGGAATATGAGCTGGAAGGCATTGAGGTAGCTCTTGCTCCTTGCTAACCCTTCTTCCCCTTAAACCTTTCTCCCCCCCCTTCCTCCTCCCCCCTCCCACCAAGTCTAGGCCTGGTAGCCCCAGGGCCGAAACGAGGCGCAGGATGAGACAAAACATGAACTGCATTTGTCACACCATCCCGGAGGCTACCTGGGGGTGGGGCGGCCCTGTTTTTCAAGGTGGAATTCAAATGCTCCGAGGATTGGAGAAGGCAAGGATATTTCTCAGGGCAAAAATGGCTGGGGAGAAGCACCCTTTTTTTTTTACACCAAGCATAAACTTACTCGTTTTATCCAAACCCCCTGAGTCAGGTCAAGCCAGTCTTAACAAAATCCTGCCACATTTGACCAAACCAGGATCCTTGATGTGAAGAAAATGTTTGTCTTCTGAACCCAGATTGTGGGCAACTGTGCTTTTCCCCAAACTTTTAAGACTTCTTCCTAGAGTTCATCTAAATTCTGATTCCAGAGGCCGGTGGAGATGGACTGACTGTTTTAAATAGAATTTTACTTCGCCAAATATGGCCGTCCTGTGCCTTGACCTCCTCTCTTCTGCTCCCAATTGTAGTGGGAACCGGTTCCATATTTTAATAACAAGATCATATGTGACCTCGTGGAGGAAAAGCACAAAGGCATCATTTCCATACTGGTAAGAAAACATTGGTTTTTGGGTATGTTTAGCCAATAAGAGAGGTTCCAAACAAGGTCGCCCTCTAAAGGAATTTGGGGTACCGAAAAGTTTTTAAATAGCTGAGGGATTCTATCAAAGAGTTATTGACTTTCTCACAAAACTACAGTTCTGTTTTTGTAGCGTAGTGGCAGAGAAGGGAAAGTGGACCACAGGGTGGTTTTATAGGACTCGGGGCTGACCTGGAAACACTTTGAAATAATTTCCTTTGCTGTTTGGAGATGCTCTCAGCGTCCATTCCTCTGGTTCAGGAGACCTCCAGATGTGCTGGCTGGCAGCTGTAAACATAAACCCATCACATCTGGTTTAGATTCAAGAACCACCAGACCCATGGGCTGTGCCCCACACATAACCATTGACCCGGATTTTTCAGCTGGATTCACTGAACAAGTTAGAATCGCCCAGTTCAAACCTCACCTTAAGCCTAATACACTATTTATTGCTCATGCGGGGAGCCAGCAATGGTCTTTCGCCTTTCTTGTTTAAGGATGAAGAATGCTTGCGGCCCGGTGAAGCCACTGACCTGAGTTTCTTGGAAAAACTGGAGGAGAAAGTAGGAGACCATGCCCATTTTGTGACGTAAGCACTGTGCCCTTCTTGCCGGAAGGGACGGGGTCATCTCCCAAGGGTCGTTTACCTTGGCACTTCTTGGAGCAGACCCTACTTCAACCCAGTGGTGGGATTCAATTTTTTTTCACTACCGGTTCTGTGGCTTGGTGGGCGTGATATGGATTGGAGGGCGTGGCTTGGTGGACGTGGCAGGGGAAGGTTTCTGCAAAATCCCCATTCTCTCCCAATCAGCTGGGACTCAGGAGGTAGAGAATAGATGGGGGGCGCGGCCAGCCAGAGGTGGTATTTGCCGGTTCTCCGAACTACTCAAAATTTCTGCTACCGTTTCCCCAGAGCTGGTCACCTGCTGAATCCCACCTCAGCCCCTCCATCCTTGCTTCTGGGTTGGATCCTGGCCCAGCTGCCAGTGGGATTCTCTCTGAAGTGGGGAATTCCCTCTCTTTTTTCTCTTTCTCTCTGCAGTCGAAAGCTTGCAGACCTGAAAACCCGGAAGTCCATCGACTGGGTGGACTTCCGCTTGCTTCACTATGCGGGAGAAGTGACCTACTGCACAGTGGGTAAGAGGGGGAGGCTGAAGTGGGGACCAGTTTGCAAGGGGCTTAATGTAGGCTGCTTCCCTCCCTCCTTGCTTGAAGCTCACAAGAATGATTCCTGCTTCAGGGGACAAAAAACAAAGAACCAAGGAGGCTGATTGGAAGCAACTCCTTCCTAGATTTCGAGACCAGGAACATTTTTCTTTCTGAAGCCACTTATCTTGGCAAGAGGCCTCCTCCAGCTCCCATCGAATCCAATCGTTTGGAAAATATGTTTGTGGTGATCAAAGCCTTCTGGGCACCAATTACGACGCCCGTTTCCTCTGTGTGCCCTTCAATTTGACACGGCCGATTCAAGCCCATTAAATTATAGCCCATCGTTCCCAGCGAGCGGACTCCACAGTGGTTGTGCAGGATAGTTGGTGCCTAGTTGGAGAGGGCCGGTGAGGTTTCTCTTTCTGTGTCTCTTCTCAAAAAACCCCCAAAAACCTCTCGGCAAAAGAGTCTGACATTGATGAGTTCTGTAATCCCAAGATTGTAATTGTTCAGACTGTGTTTCTCAATCGTGGCAACTTTAAGGCAGGCGGACTTCAACTCCCAGAATTCCCCAGCCAGCATGGGGGATTCTGGGAACTGAAGCCCAGATACCTTAATGTTGCTAAAGTTCAGGAACACTGGTTTAAGCCAATAGTGTCTTTGCTAAGATAACCCTGGGTTCATTTCCAGGAAGACTTTCTCTTCCCCTGTCCCAATTTTATTAGCAATAGCAATAGCAGTTAGACTTCTATACCGCTTCATAGGGCTTTCAGCCCTCCCAAGGCGGTTAACGGGGTCACATAATCCCCCCCAACAACCATCCGGGGCCCTCTTTTACCCACCCTG